AGCTTCCATTTGGGTATTATAACAGTTGGACTGTTCAAAAAAACCCCACAAAGGCCTACCATTTGTAAAAGTAGACACTCCAGGGTATCTCATAAGGTGCATATTGTGCCTTAACATGCCCCCATTTTTTCACCAATATATGCCAAAGTATGTGGTAAAAAATAATTTTGTGCATTTTTTACATACGGATTGCATTTTTGCTGGGCGTTTTGTATATTTCATATGTGCCACTAAGTTCAAACCCCCCAAATTATGCTCAGCTAAGTCTTCTGAGTAAAATGACACCCCATATGAATGTCTTTGGCACTATTTCGTGAAGCTACAGTGCCATATAGGAGACCTGTCCTTTACAGAATTCACAGTAGAATTTTGAGAGATGGATTTAATGAGCCTTAGCTTCCATTTGGTAAAGGGGGGGTGGTACTTTAAATTAACTTTTTTTTTTTTTACAGCAGGGGGCAGGATCAGCACTGTTCCGGCTCCCTGCACTTCACACAGAACCAGGAAGTGCAGGGAGTGAGTATACAGAGCACATGTGTTCGCTCTGACTTGCGGTCATAGTGAGCACATGTGCTGGGCAGTCTGACAGGGTGCTCCCGGTATGCCTCTAATGCAGAGGCTTATGAGTCCTTTAAAGTGAGACTAGCAGCCTTAACAGAAAAAGTGGCTGACCACGAAGACCACAATAGACGGAACAACATTAGACTGCACGGCATACCAGAGGACATTACAGAACTCCACCACTATGCAATATCACTATTTAAAGCAATATGCCCTGGCCTCACAGATGCTGACCTACGCCGAGACCGCATACACAGGCTACCCAGGCCACGGTTTTTAGCAGCTACGGCACCAAGAGACACCCTAACCAGGAGATCATCATGAAAGCACCCCAAAGGAGATCATCATGAAAGCAGCGAGGAACACAGATACCTGTGATTGATCAGTAAAGAGCTGGATGCGGCCATAAAGCAGCAATCCTAGAAAATGCCATTAAACGACATGCTCCTAAAGGGATGTTGCAATGGGTAGACATGGAGAATGGATATCACCCAGCTTGCTCAGCTATAAACTATATATGGACACCTATAAACCTATGTGATAAATCGTGTATGCTCTTACCACTCACTAGATTAACAATACAAACATGGGACCAATCACACCGCCCATATGCTAACAAAGACAAATTTCTAAGATAGGCAACCTTAACTGCATTTCACTCTATATCACCTTGGTTATCACTGAATGGCTGGACATAGCAGGGTATCAATCGCCTTATAGATATATGCTCACAAGGAGACTTTCAACCTTTCCCAACACTACAGACCAAATACAATTTACCACCATCTTTTATATTTCCGTATATTCAGATAAAAAGTATATTTTTGGACAAGGTGTTACACCTCACAACACACACTTCCGGAGAAGGCAAAGCCCGGCTCTACATTTATGATAGATGTCACAAAGCCACGATCAAAGCTAAGTCTTTATCTCTTAGTTACCCAGCCTTAGGTCAAAACACACTCCATCCAGAATTCCCATTTATGAATCAATGGAACAAAGAATACCAACTCCCCATCACTAAAGATCAATGGTTGCAATCACTATCGGCTCTGAAAGGATCCACATCTTGCTACTCCCACATTGAAGCCCACAAGAAATTGATATACAGGTGGTATCTTACACCAGATAGATTGAATAAAATATATCCGCTCTCCTCACCGTTGTGTTGGAGATGCGAAACAGATAGAGGTATGATGAGCCACATAAGGTGGCAATGCTCTAACACTGAACCCCTGTGGAAAGAAACCCAACAGCTATGCAACTATTTGGGAATATTCAAAGGCTCCATATCACTAGAGATAGGTCCACTTCTCTTGCTCCCCAAACATGTCTCCCCCCCGACAAGCAGCTAATCATAATTATTGTCTTAGCAACATGAAACCTCATAGCGGGATATTGTAAGAAAAAGGAATGTCCAACAAAAACACAACTACACAACAAGATTAGACACTTTTTAAAATACGAAAAATTGTCCACCTCCACATCCAAGCATAGAGAGGTCACACAAAACAACTGGCAAAGGTGGACGGACCTCATAAGCCTAGATGGCACTCCTGTGAAGTGAGAGTCGAAAGCAAAATGAACTAACATGGGGCCGAGACACTAAACACAAGTACAAACTAAGACCATTATCTCAAACAATGGAAACCCGGAGACAGGTTCCTTTGGATTTAATGACTTAAGGATTTACAACATTATTGTTTTAAATATGGTAGGGCTTGAAGACATATCAATGTATTGCCGAGTATAATGGATCTGTTGAGACAATGATGTAGTACCAGGACTAAAGACGGTAACTGCATTGCACTCTGTATGAAAATGCACTGATGTTTTTGTACAAAACAATAATTGACATACACTGTGAATGGATAACCCCCTCCCCTCTTGCTTTCTGTACCCAGTTTACCTTGAAAACCCAATGAACTTTAAATAAAAAAAAAAAAAGAAATTGCTCTTTTGTTTATTTTCAAGCCCTACAAGCGTGAGGACGTCCAGTGTCAGGCAACTTTTTTAATACTGTACTTTTCAAAATAAACCTATGTTTAATTGAAAACTGACATTTTAGTTTTTTTTGTGGCCCACAAAAACATAAACCTTGCCCCTCAAATATTATATCTCCTTTCTCTATCTATTTATTTGTGTATAACCTTGAGTGATATTTAATCTCTAATCAAAGTGTCTCTACTTTTTTTTACTAAAGCACAATATTGATGTGTATAATTTTTTTATCAAAGATTAGTTTTTGTGCGTTTCTTGAACTAGTACAATATCAATATCAATCCATTAATTTACATCTTTTTAAATAGAATTTAATCCTTGTGTATTTATAAAGCAAACATTTAACATTAAAAAACTTTAAAGATTTTTTTCCCCGTAATTTCCACATTTGATGCATTCACACACCACATTCATACTTAGATAAGTTAAGAGTCCTTCCTTTCCTAGGAGCTCCCTTTGACCCATCCTAACTTAAAAATAAAAAAAAAGCTTATTTAGACTGTTAAGGTTAGTCAGGAAGAGATCTATTTTCCAGGTAGTCTATCTAATATGAGAATGTAGGAGAGCATAGGAGAACATAGGAAGGCATAACAAAGGCATAGGAAAGGGGATGCAAACTAATTGGTAGGAGGAGGAGGGAGGGAGCAAACAACTCAAAAAGTCATACATTATAGTATTCTTATCTCTTCTGGGCATTGCTATAGATCCACTTAAATATTAAATGTATCACTCTAATTTCTATTAATAGGATCTCTATATCTCTCTCTAATCTTTATAGACATTTCTCTGAATCTACCACCTCCCCCATCCCCTCACTCCCTCCTCCTCACCACTCTCCCCCTCCCCCACCCCTTTTCAAAATATATAAAAAAACTCCTTTTTTTTAATTAGCCACTACAATATTCCATTTTTTGTAGTTGTTTTCTTTGTTCTTTTGTCGTTATAATATGTCTTTCTTCTTTAGAGGTTAATAGATTTTTTGCTGGAAACTGCCAGGTAAACTGTATGTTCTCCTTAATCAGTATATCAGTCACTGGTTTTAGTTTCAATCTTTGTTGTCGTGTAAAGCTAGATAAGTCATTGAGTATCCTCAGATTTTTAAATTGTTAGTTGGTTCCAGCTTCTTTCTTTATATATATAATTGTGAAAACAGACTATTGTATCTCTTGGTGACTGGGGGGATACTGTTGATGGGTTGTATATTTTATGAGCTCTTGGCATAAATAATTCCATTTCTCCTAAATCTCCTACCATTCCTTTGAACTATTCATAGAGAAAGTCTTTCAGTTTGTCACTTTTAATTTCTTCTGGAACTCCTCTTATTCTCAAGTTAGTTTTCCTTGATCTATCTTCAAAGTCCACAATTTTTTTCCCCATCTCTATTAGTTTTTTGTTTGTATTGTCCTGTATATCTTGTGTCTTGGACATATAAAAATTGATTGATTCAATGTTGTCTTGATTATCCGGAATCTTCTGATTAAGTAGTTTTATTTCTTCTTTCATTTCATTCAGTGAGTTTGTCATTTCTTTTTTTTATAGCATCTCTATGCTCTTCTAGAATATTTATTAAAAATTATTTTGTGATTTCTTCTCGCTCTGGGGGGTCATCTGACACAACTGATCTTTCTCCATCAGAATTATAGACTTGTACTTCTTTTTCTACTTTAACATCTTAATTTGCTTGTTTTGTTGGTGAGTGTTGGGGATAAAATCAGCCCGGGCCCTTTGTGGATGATGGATATTTGCCAACTCATTCAGAGCTCTGGAAATTGGAAATGAATAGCACAGACGTCTTTAATAACCAATTCCAATTGTATTCATACGTCAGTTATATTTATACCCCATTTTCATAGCAGGATGGGAGGGGAAAAATGAGCATATTTATGAGCAGCTGTTTCTTATTATAATTCTACGTTATATAACATATGTATATTTGATCAAAACAAGATATTTACCTTAATCTTGGACAATTAACAAGAACATTTCGAAATCAGTATGCTCATTCTCGTAAATGATATTAGATAAATTCTTCCAAAAATCGAAGATACAATTCCAAATTTATTCTTGGTTCAAATTAACCCTTATATGAACAGCTAGGATATTAAGCAAAATGGATATTCATATCCTACAATTCCTCTCTTTAGATCATATCGTGATCTACCTTACGGAATATCCATGGGAGGTCTGCGGCAGAGAAACGAAAGGAGGTATATTCAGACGTGCTAATCATGTCTGCGGGACTTTCATTATTTCTTCACCTCGATTTCCCCCATTTGCTCTGTGCTGTAGGTTTTCCCTTTAAGAGGAGATCGAGCTGTCGATTTTCAGCTTCTGTAATCATCTGTTGTACACATCTTTTAAGTGTACAAGTTAAATATTTTAACAGCTGACAACCAATTTTAAACAGACTGCACATCATGTTATCTGTAACTTGAGCCTTGGATCAAAACAGGGAAAGTGTATTATTCCCAACAATGGGAATATTATTATTATAATTCACAACGTAAACACATATAATCAAAAATGGAAATAAAATCTATTTCCCCTCTTTGGACCAGGGTCTTGGATTACCAGTCCACCCAGTGAACTTGGGCCAGGTCAAAAAACCCAGTGGCAAAAACTCATAGTTGAGGAAAAAAGCACATCTGGGTAAATTCTAAGTGAGGGCCATGACAGTGTAGACATGTCATCCCCTCACGTTGACAGCATTAGTGACTTATAAAACCTGCACTTGTAAGTAAATAGCTCGGGTATCTGGATTGGGAAAAACTTCTTGATTAGTTTGAAAAGGCCCACTTACATATTAAATCATGAGATCATTTCTAATCAGTTTGCAATTCTAGCAATAATCCCAATCATGACCTTGCGTCCTATGCCTCCTAATCAAATCCCTATTTCGATGGTCCAGTCATATCCACACTTAATACATTGGAATCCATCCTTGGTACTCTTAACATACATCAATGACACACATATTACATCCATGCCTGAGTAAGCTAACACTTCCTCTCTCTCCGGCTAACTCTAGAAAAATAAAAATAACAAAATAGTTCAATAGTCCAGCATAGTCCAGAAAAATATTATAAGTCTTTCAAAGAGTATAAAGAATCTTAGACACCATAAACTTTGTTCCATAATCTTAGACACCATAACATAGCAAGGGTAGCAATATGGCTGACAACAAGACAATGTCAGCTTCCACATAGTTCTTAATTCTTCTGTTTGCTGGATGTTCACCACAATACTCTGTGCAACACCCCAATTGTTGAAAGGGTAACACAGAAATAGCGGCATTAGACAGCACTGCATCTTCAGGACTTTCCAAGTTAGTTTATGCCCTCATTTCAGTTTCTTCGGCCAGCATGGTTTTTGACTAAACAGATTTAATTGCCAAAAAGGTAGGTAGGCAGGTAGGTCAGCCAGAGAGATTGGTGTGTAGTCCCAAATATCAGGCGGCACAAATACTCCAGTACGGTCTCTATAATCATACAAACACAAGGATCAGTACGACATCAATAAATTAATTATCTAGGCTAAACTCTTAACTAGTGTAACATGTACGTCTCTCAGTTTTGCTTATAATTCATTGAATTTGTCCTTTATAAAATTGTAATACATAATTTCCCTTTAGAATGCCTTTGTGTGGATGAGAGAAGCACTCATTCTATATAAATGCTTGTTGGGTACTAAAACACTAACATATACATATTGGTATAATTCCTAATAAAATGCTGTTCTTAAACTTAAACCTTGATTTGATAATCTCAATTAATTACTTTAATAAAATTGGAATGCTGAAGTCTGTCAGAAATTTTGTGGACCCTGATAACATCTTTGGAAACCGAAACCTTTTATAGATCCCGATGTCCAAAAAGCCACCAGTTCTGTATGTGTGTGATCATGTTTTAATACATGGTGGAACCTCCATACAGTTATCCCACTTAAACAATATTTTTTTCAGAACAACTAGAGAAACAAAATGAATTACTATTGTTCTAAAGTGCTTTGTTTAATACAGGTTTCGGAAGAATTGTCTTTCTGTGTTAAGGTTGCAAGTGGCCTCTGAT